CCAAACGCTTTTATGTGAAAGTCATCACCAGCTGACAAAAAAAAGGGTTACAAGTTCACAGCTGCTGCAGCTGCTGTGATCTTGGTGTAACCACCTCAGGGCCATGGTATTTATATACATAGGTTGTGGTTCTGAAGTGGTTGAAAAAATACATTGCCCATCATTTTGAAAAATAAAAAAATCCGCTGGAGCTGCAATGCTCATCTCTTTGCCATCTATCACAGACTCGCTGCTCTGCGATCCAGCGCTGCTCCTCTTCCAGTTTAAATGATGCCCAGCATCATTCAATCAACTGAAGTGTATAGTATTAAGCCGAACAGGGCTCACAGGAGGATGTGGCATGTCATTATGTGGCACTGTTTTCTGCAGAATTCATTAACCTGCCCACCCCACCAGCGGAGGAAGAATACACGTGATGTCACATTACTAGACCAAAGCCCAATGGAAAAAAGGTATGTATACACATATATATTTAGCACTGCAGCACAAGCATACTGCAGAACACTGTGGACCTTGGTCAAGTGTTCAGTTGGTAGGTTTAAATCTGGCTCACTGCATCACCAAATTCAGAATACTAAAAAAATAAATCCAACACTTCTGATTGTGTAAAATACCTGCTTTCCCGCCACGTGCTGTGGTATCTTCCACCAACTATTTTATCATTACAATGGCCAAAACAAGGAAGACATAGACCACAAAAGAAGACTGAGAGAAGATGGCACAGACGGCTGTGGAATGACGAGGGAGCATGCAAAAATGTCATAGCTGAAACTTTACAAATGCAGATGTAAATTTTCACTGCGGCAAGTTCTCCCACCAGGACCTTAGCCATCGGCTACTCTTTAAATCAAACCAGACAAGTTTGTTTCCAGATCTTAATAAATGTTATGATCCTTGGAACAATGCAAGATGTTGTGTGTACACTCACAACTATGCTCACAACTCAGTGATGATGGGATAAAAAAGTATGACCCTTACTGGAATGCCATTTAACAGACCTTCACCCACTTAATTGCTGGGGCACTTCTTCATTCACCCACTGCTCCTTTCATTTTTAATCAGCAAATGCTGCTTACCAACTGTTGTAGGGTAATCATTTCCTGTTGAAGAGACCAGTGACCCCAGCTGGCTAGCAGTATGCTGACAGCCTCCTTAGTGGCCCCCGTTAGTTCTGCAAGATGTTCATTTGACATAGACTCCTTCTCCCGATGCCACTGGAAGAGAAAAATCTTTGAGCTGAGCGATGACATCACCCAGACTTTTAAGAATATTTTTCAGCTGTTTAGGAAAAGTAAGTAAAAAATATAAAAGAGTCTTTTTCTAGGGGGGGTGGGGGAAAGGCCATCCTACTTGGTCAGAGACAAGCTTTAAATATTGTGGAATCATGACTTATTTGCATTCAGGGAGTTTCCTTGAACAGGGTAAATGGTACATGGTCAAAAATAAATTATAACCATATATGGCAAACACATTGTTAAATTAGTAACACCATAAAGTCTTGATGCCCCATATTAATCTTCCTGAATTCAGGTTTACAGAAACAGCTTTTACTATGTTAATGATGTTCCGTTGATTACTATTTGCAATCCAGAACTGCATAAATAATGGATTAAAATTGGAAGCCAACTCAGTCAATGCAGCAACACTGCTATGTACGCTTTTACAGACAATACATAATAAGATTATTACCAACAATGTGATAATTGCAGTGATAAAATAAATGGCGTTTTTACCATTCTGTTAGTAGCTGATAATTCATTAATTCCAAATTATTTAAAACATTACTTTGTGTTTTTATTGCATTCCATATAATGTAACTAATTACTAAATATCAAAAAACACATTTATGGCTGAACACCAGACATACAGCTACAAAAGTAATTTGGTTTGAAAACCAGGTGAATTAGTGAACTGCATTCATTTTTAATTTTTTCGAAATATATTCATAAAGACAGACCCAGAGAGACTGAGCGGAGGGTCTACATGACTGGGGGGGGAGGGGGATTGTCCTGGGAGAAGGTGTTAAAAATAAAATGGGAATTAGCTGTTCTTACCTGATTGGACGTTGGGGTCAGGTGTCTGGGAGGAGCAGCACGGGTTGGAACTGCAAGGGCTGAGGGGCGTTCTTTCTGGAAAATCGATGGAGGTAGCAGGTTGTCCCAGCCTCCCTCCTTGAATTTTGAGGTTCTGCTGGTTGCAGGGTTCTTTTTATGTCACGGCAGCTTGGCGGGTGCTGTCCTCGAGCTGGTTGGGGTGTGGCTGGGGACATGGGAGGAGTTTTTGGGAGAGGCCTTATTTGGGCTGTTGGGCACCCAAAGACCCCTTCTCAGATCAACAGTCGTTATCATCCATCAGTGATGATTTGTCCAATCATGGGTTTCCAGGATTCCTAAACGGTGGGATTCTTAGATTAGACAGATCTTCATACTATAGGTATATTAAGACCAGTGTTGTGACAAAGGTTCCCGTGTCAGAAAATATAACCAGGTCTGTGTCTTCCCTACAGACTACACTGTAGTCGAGCAATACAGCCTGGTCTGAGATGCGCTCCCAACCTGTAAATGGACAGTGAAGGAAAGGCTGCACACTACTGAGATCAGCAGGCTTCGCTCTGGTCCAGTCAGAAATCTCCCGGTTTTAAACTGACAGCACTGTGCAATGCATTGGAGCATGACTGGCTTAAGGTGCCCATACACCTTACGAATATCAGCCGATTTTCGCATGCGATCGTGTATTTGTCCGATATTCGTAAGGTTGATGGGCAGTGTACAACCGCAAATACTGTACAAATCGATCGACGTTTGTCTAACCAGCAGGTTAGAAAACTGCGGTCAATCGTACGATTTTCGCAAGGTTGGTGGCGTTTCCTGTACGTCAAAATTCGTACGATCTACACTGCACATGTGCAGATGAAAATATGCGCGGTCGATTACCGCAATTCATCCAGGTGCTTTCTTCTAATTACTGCTGATCCAACCTTGCGATAATCGGGGCAGGATGGGGCCGCCGTACAAAAATCGTACGACGGTTCGATCATCGGAAGAAAAGGGTCGTCCCATGATCGCAAGGTGTATGGGCAGCTTTGCAGTGCTACCCACCCAGACTAAATCTGGCTAAGTGGGAGATTATGATAGGTGACTATTAAAAGATATGAATACAGGTACGCTAGTTGTGTGTAAACAGAAATACACAATAACTGCTTAGTAAATCATTGGAATAATGTTTGTAATTTATTTGTCTGAAGTTGAGATTTGAGAAGAGAAGTAAAGCCAAACCTTTTTTTGGCTTTTCTTTCTATTTTGGGTCACAGGAGTACACTTACTAATGTACTCCTCTGACCCAAAGTCAGCATATAGGGGGCTACTGACAGCGCAGAGCCACACTGCAGCCAGGAAAGATCCTGACAATATTGCTGGGATCCACCTGGATGCCTGATTGACAGCTGGCCTCTCTAGACCCAGAGCCAACTGTGCCCACCCCCTCTCTTGTCTGCCCTCCAGTGGGAAGGGAGGGGGGAGAATCCCTGCAGGGAGCGGTGACTGACATTCAAGGAGGAGACTGAGCTGTGCAATCAGCGATTATATGATCACTCCGGTAAGGTCTCAGTATAGAGACAGTGTGTGAAAGCTGCAGTGTCTCACGCTGGCTCTAAGTATTGGGAAAAGTACATTTAACTCTCCCAATACTTCTCATTTAAGGAAAGCTCACTTTGTTGTTGTGTATAATATGTTTATTCCCCACTTTGTAATTTCAGTCTGTAGGGACCCAGTGGCATACCTTATCTTGCTGGATGAACATCGACTACTCTCTTTGCCGGAGTCCATCACCAAGATGGCCACCAGCAGTGAAGTGCATGAGACGTAGTGACGGGTACACCGGGTGACAACAGGCGGCCGCACTAAGTGATACCCGGCCTGGTGACGCCCCTGCTTATACTATCCTGTTATAACATCAGCACTGTAATAGGAATACATACTAGAGTTGTTTTTGATAATGCAATCAAAGCTTACTTGAAAAATCCCTTTTATGCACTGAGTGCTGCCTTCTGTTTGCCCATTACTTTCAACAATTTCTGTGGATTCCCAGTTTGCTTTGCCTCTCTTTCCCTGCTGCTTGATATGATCCAATCTTAATTTCTCAAGACTACAAATCCCATGATGCATTGCTTTCAGCAAGCTTTGATAATGTTACAATGTTCAGACAGTAAGTTACAGTTCAGAAGGCAGTCTCTGTGAGTTTACAAACTTCTAGATTGATGTGGTTATTAGCAGTGGGATAGAACTTTCTAGAATATTCTTAGTTGTTGTCCATAGATACCCTTTAATGCTCTCTTTGTCAAAATACTATTTGCCTAGCTGTCATTCTGGAGCTTTTCCTAAGAATTTTGAAGTCCTTATCTGCATATTTGTTCCAAATTATTGACACTGACTTTCCCAATTTGAGTATTTGCTTTGAGTCACCAGTTCCAAGTGTTGAAGACAGAGGGTCATCATAACAGCCAGGTAATCACACTTCCAGAAGGAGGTCAACATTTTAATTATTATTAGTGTAGAACCCATTATATTACCCAAGGAACTATTGTGTTTCAGAACAAAAATACAAACAGTTACAAAAATATGTTAGAGTGTTTAAAGCCAGAAGACATGAGATCTTTCTGAAAAGCAAAAGGCATCTTGTGGATCTACGTGGTTTGCACTGTGGTGTTTGTATGTTCAGTAAATAACAACTGGTGGAAATCATTCAAACAGGTAAAATGATTTGAGGACAATATGAAATCATATGGGGGTTTTCAGAGAAAATTAAGAAGAAAAATAGTATTCCATGACAATGATTTATGGCGACCAATCATGTTTCTTCTTTAGTCCTCTGGGAAAATAAAATGTGGAATTTGATTGGTCACCTAATGGCAAGTGCTCCACTGTAGATCTTTTGTCACGCTTTTGAAAATAGGACCCAGACAGATCAAATGAGATTGAAAATTCTGTTCTCTTGTTTCTAAGGTCAAATTCCCCTCTACACTTATTCGGAAACCTGACAAGCCAATGTGATTCCTCTTCTCGAAAGCTAGCCAACGACACAAAGTAAGTAAAATCAAATGGTGGCATCACTCTTTCCATAAAGCAGGGGTGAGCAACTCCCGCCCTCCAGCTGTGCTAACTACAAATTTCAAAATGCATCTGATTTCGGGAGTCATGCCTGTAACTGTCAGTCTTGAAATGCCTCATGGGACTTGTAGTTCCACAAAATCTTGGGGGCCTGGAGTTGCCCACCCTGCTTTAAAGTACATGTCCAGCTAAAACTTTTTGATACTTTTTTGGTTTTGAATAGAGAGGGAAGGATTGGAACCCCTATTAATGGAAAAAACCTAATCCAGAAATTGCCGCACTCCAAGTGTCTTCACCGAAAAAGAAAAATCTGCATTTATAGAGCAAATACATAATGTGTGTTTCTGCCCATATGTGCTCAGCCTCTAATGTGTTTTACCATTCTGACTTCTTCATAGAGATCTCTATATGTCTGTATATATATATGAGTTAGCCGGAATGGTGGAATGCGTTAGAGGCTGAGCACACATGAGGAGAAACAAACACACATGAGGAGAAACAAAAAGTATTTATTTGCTCCATAAATAAAGATTTTATTTTCAGTGAAGACCCTTGGTTGTGCGGGAATTTCTGGATTGGGTTGCTGTAAGCGGCAGCGCACATGTCTGCCTGCACCTGGTATGCAATTGCAGTGCAAGCCGGTTCTGGAATGTGAGGTTTTTTTACTTATGTCTGTCTGGTGAAACCATTTTTACTGGGGCAGAAATGAGGGGAAAGCTTCAGCACAGAGCCGCAGTATAAAAAACTCTATAGGGGTTCTAATCCTTCCACTAGGTGGGAATGCAATGTCAATTTCAATCCTACTCAACATCACGGGGCTACAGAGGGGAGTCTAAATTAATTGGCTCCTGACAGGAAGTGGCTGTGCAATGCTTAGTGTCGCACAGCATTTGTAGGAAGTAATATTTAATGTGCGATTAGATACAGGCTGACAGCATGGAAGGGAAATGAATACTAGGAAAGACTTTAGGAGGTATTTGCAAAAACATATTGTTAATTATATAATTTTGGCATTTGTGTTGCTTTATTTATTCTAAACATTTTATATAATGTGTACCTTTTCTTGCAGCATTGAGCTAGCCCCAGACTATGAGGAATTGTGTCATCCTAAAACACTGAAATGTACTCCAGAGCCAGATGCATTTAACCCTTGTGAAGACATCATGGGATATGACTTTCTTCGAGTACTGATCTGGTTCATTAGTATTCTTGCCATTGCGGGCAATGCTGTGGTTCTGGTCGTCCTTCTGACAAGCCATTACAAACTCACAGTTCCCCGATTCCTAATGTGCAACCTGTCATTTGCAGACTTCTGCATGGGGATTTACTTACTTCTGATTGCATCAGTGGACTCCAAGACCAAAAAACAGTATTATAATCATGCTATTGACTGGCAAACGGGAAGCGGATGCAGTGCGGCAGGATTCTTCACGGTGTTCTCCAGTGAGTTGTCCGTCTATACTTTGACTATAATCACCCTGGAAAGGTGGCACACCATAACCTATGCAATGCAACTGGACCGAAAGCTGCGGCTGCGCCATGCCATCCTGATTATGCTGGCCGGCTGGATTTTTTCTTTGATAATTGCCATTTTACCACTTTTCGGAGTTAGCAATTATATCAAGGTCAGCATATGCTTACCGATGGATATAGAGACACCCCTTTCTCAAGCGTATATTATACTAATCTTGGTGCTCAATGTCTTGGCTTTCATCATCATTTGTGCTTGTTACATAAAAATTTACATCACTGTGCAAAATCCGGAGCTAACGCCAACCAACAAAGACACCAAAATAGCCAAAAAGATGGCAGTACTTATTTTCACCGACTTTACGTGCATGGCACCCATATCATTCTTTGCGATTTCAGCAGCCTTTAAAGTTCCCCTCATCACTGTGAGCAATTCGAAAATATTGCTGGTTTTGTTTTATCCTGTGAATTCCTGTGCAAACCCGTTTCTATATGCAATTTTCACCAAGGCCTTTCGAAGGGATTTCTTTCTGCTTATGAGCAAGTTTGGATGTTGCAAGGCTCAGGCGGAACTCTACAGGATCAACGACGTTACTGCTTACACCTCAAACTGTAAAACCGACAGCCTATACACTGGACCAAAAAAGCCTTCCCGAGCTGATCTTCAGCTATCAAATGTCAACTGTCAGTACTTGAACATAAATGACAAACCAGCATGTATAGGCAGTTGAAATTTGGACTTGTTTGTCACATTTAAAGTTGTACAAATTATTCCTCACAGAGGACTTTCTGTAAATATGTAAATCCAGTTTATGTAAATATGAAGCACTCTTACAAAACTTGTGTTTTAATTGCTGTAAAAATTTATTTTTTGTATTATAGATTTGAGAGATACAACGCAGCTAATAAATGGAAAATGCTGTGACCCTAAAATGTTTGCCAATAACAGCCGGAATCATCGTGTTTTACGTAAAAATGATGGGATAAAACAAATAGCTCTAGTCAAGATAATGTAGTTAAAGTAACACTGTTGCCGATTAAAAAAATTAAATAAAGCAGCTCCCTGCAAAAAAAAAAAAAAATGTAAATCCTTACCCCTCCCTGCACTGCCAAACACCACTGTTAAGGTGAATTCATCCATAGGAATCTGCTAGTTAAGCAAAACATCCGGGAGTGTTGATCTTCTATGTCCCTTGCAGCGCTATCTACTTTCTTCTGGCGACCCTTATATCACTAGTCACTACAGGACACATTGGTAAAGTGGGGGTAGGCAAGAGCTAACAATGAGCACTACAGGGGTCATAGTAAATCACACTTCTAGAGTGTCAGTTTTCCAGCTGGTTTCAGTAGGTTGTTCTTCATCAGCAGAGTGATGTTAGAAGAGACAGAAGTATTTACATCACATGGTGCTGTGATCAGCTATGACACTAGCCATTTGAGGGCTTGACAGTTGGCATGCCTTAAAAGTAACTGCTTTGGTAGACATTACATTGGTGGTAAAGTTCCACTTTAATTTGCAGATGACAAGAGGGACCCTTTAAATAAAGTATTCAATGTTACATGAAAAAAATATCTATAAGTGTTTAAAACTGGAAAAAAACATTTCTTGTTGTTTGTCAAGCATGTAAATGACTTCCTCTGCAACACAATTGATAACACTTTCAAAGTATTATATTCTAAGAAGCAAGATTTTACACACAGATGTTATTTTAAAGACCACTTACTTACTACTCTTGCATCTGTACTTAGTGGATTCGCAAAGAAGCATTGATGCATTTTCACAGTGGCAAGTGGAGTACCTGACCGATTCATAGAGAGATTAGCTAAAATCAACTGCCAGAGATTCCGTTTCAGATAAAGGAGGACAAGTAGGAAGGAAATTAATTAGGTTTTACAGGCTAAACTGGACTTCTTCTAATCTTCCTTCTCCAGGGAAAGAACTAATTATGCTTTATCAGCTTCCACTTACCATATGGAAAGGGAGCCAAGATTTCAAACATCACATACAGATAAATTCTGGTATAATGTAATAATTCTGATTTAAATAGACCCTGTCAACAGACCACGCATTTCCACTGAAAACTTTCCATACATTTATATTTGCATTTAGGATATATTATGCATGGTATTTACCATAAAAAGCCTCCCTTGTGTAGATTTGCAAAAGCCGTGAGGCTGCTGTGGGGCACTGCCATCTTGGATGTGGTGTCAAATGCCCCAACAGACTCAGACCTATCCCTTAAGTGAAACTTCCCTTTTGCTCCTCCCCTGGCAGCTACCTGAAAGGTTATGTAGGGGTAAGTAGTAAGGTGGAGGAGCCAGTACAAATAGTAATTAGACATTTCCATGGGAGTTGATGGCTATGATGTGGCAGGTGGAATGGGAGCTGTAGCAGTGCTAGGGAATGGACTCTTCCTGGAGTGGTCGAATTCCTTATCAAGTTCGAAGGCAAGTAAAGTAAAAGAAAATATATGGAAAGTAAAAACAATGCCAGGAAACATTTCAAACACTTTTTTTGGTGCTTTTACGTGCATTTTTTTTAAAGTTGGTGACAGAGACTCTTTATTGAAGTCTAACAACCAGAAATCGTCTTTTAAATTAAAGCTGAACTCCAGGCAAACAAGACTTTAAAAGGGTTGAAATACAAATATAGGAGATGCCTTACATACCAAAAGATTTGTATTTCAGTCCATCGCGTCGAGAAATTTACACAACCCTCCCACACAGCACAGCCAGTCTAAAGACCTGACTTATTTTTCTGCTGCAGTTAAGCAACACAGTTGGGCCCCTTTCACATGAGCCGTCCAATCGGGTCCACCTGTCAGTTTTTCAGTCGGACCTGATCGGATGCACTATACAAGTCTATGGGCAGCCGTGTGTAAACATCCATTAAACACCCGGTTAGCACAGGCTAGGTCTGGAAAAACAAGACCGCATCGTGCTGAAAGGGGCTGTAGGTAGAGTTGAAAATGTAACTTCACCCTTAAATAAACTTCATCCTTTAAGCAAAAATAATAATCAGAATCCCCAATGGATACACATGGATAATAACTACACCTGTGGAATGATCCTTACCCTCTTAGGGCCCATTTACAGCATAAGGTTGCACTAAACACGCAGGATCCTTGCATTTAGCACACACTATCACAAAGCTCATGCTAGCGTACACTAGGTGCACTGGTGGGTTACACTGCCATTCATTCTGACTAGTATCAAAATGCACTACCTGGCAGGAAGACTTCACTGCTTCTACTGAGAAATTTTAGGATAAATTGCTTCACAATGGCTGTAACTTCAGAGTTCGGTAGGGGCTAGTTTGGAAGCTTATTTACTGTTTAAGTATATGTAAATATTTGAAAATAAAGTTAAAAAGGTTGGGCATGCCTCCTCCTGCAACACACTGTTGTTAATTAAGATGCCCATCACTGTGATTAACTAGTGGAGTGCTGTGGTGAACCAAGGTACAGGTCCTCAAGAAAAGTCTAGGATTGTTTTCTAGAATATTCCAGGAGTTGGGGAAGGAGGGGCTTTCTTTTAAATTACAGTCAATGGGAAGCAGGTGAAAATGCAGAGTCCATTTTTGCACAGTCTCTTACATAATCCTTTTTTGCTTTTTGTGTTTAAAAGTAAAATGGGAACTGGAAAAGTTAGGAATTTAAAATAATAAAGACTTCATGAAATCAGAAATAACTGTAACCGTGAGATTAAAGGCTGGTCAAACATTGTTCAAATGACTAAAACTGCAGTAAAATAACCTTTTAATTTATGTCCGTATTTCTACTTTTTGTAAAGGAATAAAGATCATGTTATATACATACCTTTATGTGTAATGGACACATTAAATGTTAGCTATGCTGTGTAACTGCACATTTTATACTATGTGCTGTATTTTGCACACTCCAAACTGCTGTTCACTTTACATTGTACTGTACACTACTGTGCATTTTCTCCACAGAATCTTCCCTTGTACTCTCATTTTGAATATCTTTGGGAATCTCTACACAATAATATTGATAAGTATCTACAATTAGTTTTTTGTTTTTTTTTATTATTATAGTCACACACACACACACACACACACACACACACACAAACTTTTTTTTTAGTCACACACACACACACACACACACACACACACACACACACACACACACACACACACACACACACACATATATATAGCAGACTTGACATATAAAGCAATATATTTATTTGAATATAAAGCAAAAATAATAAACTTTACATTTCCTTATGACTTTTTTATTAAACATCACTGGCAACTAAAATGTCAGCTTGCATTTTACAATCCAAATGCAAACTCCAACAAAAGTACACAGATCAGTTTTATTACTTCTGACATATAATAGTTAAGCCTCAAGCTACATTTACAAATAATTCAAAGACGAATTTAACTCATATTAACGAAGACAACTTTATGTCAAATGTTCCTCCTGTACGTTACTATCATCACAATATCTTACAGTAAACCTCTTACAAGCACTACTGGTTGTATAGAAACAAGCTTGACAGACCTGTATGATTTTTAAAGAAGGATGACAAGTAGTTGCACAGGTCTAGATAATATAGAGCTATATATCTGTGCATTTAAGCAACTACATGACCATTTTCTGTGATTAGCATATTTGAAGAGCCACATTGCTCTTCAATAATGCTGCAGAGAAGATCTGTTTTATAAGTAGAGGTTGCATATGGATAATGTGGTTTTTATTCAATCATAGGAAGAAAAGTAGGTCAAGCTGAATTCAAGACTTGAGAATTTTTTAACAGATACTGAGTAGTCTGCCCACACTGTGACACTGCAGACCTCAGTGCTCTCTTCTATAGTTAAATAGGAAGCAAAACAAAACCAATGCAGGTAAAGTGAAAAGAACTCATTTTAGCGATAGTTAGTAATCCTAAAGAACTGAATATATGAAAAATGTAAATGCAGGGGGTTTTTTTTATGCAATTATTTCCCTTTGTAACCAACTTATATAGTGCCAGTATGTACAGATGTAGGTTTGTTAATGAAGAAATTAAAGAGCAAATAAACCTTTTGCAACACTTTGGTTAATCTGATATAGTATGGCGGGGCAGGGAAATAGCCAGCATCATTTAAAGTGTGACCCGAACACCCCAGCGAAACATCAGAGCCAGGTTGGTGACTTTACTACTGAAGTTAAAGCCAAACTCTCAGCATACTATACACCCATCCCAGCTCACGTACTGTCCCACACAAAATATTTTTTGTAATTACAATGCAGCATTTGAGTTTTTTTTGCATCGATCAGACCCTGTAGTGCCATCACAGCATCTAATCAGCATCCCTGCTTCAAGCCACAGGAGGAGGAGTCTTTAAAGCACCATATGTCTGATGAAGGCATGTCCTTACAGACCACAGACACATCATTACAGCATTGGAATTACACTTGACAATCAGCCCCACTCACACTATGTTGAGGACTCTAGGAAGTTTCTTGACAGAGTGTAGGCAGGACTGACTGGAGGCCGATGATGCCAGTTTGCTGAGGAAGAGGCTGGATGATGCTAGATGCCATGCAGCCTGAAAGCTACTCAGGGACTATGGACTGGAAATGTACACTACATTTGTTTGAACCACAAAGAGGTCAGATGAAGATAGCAAGGAAATGTAAGTAAATGCACACAGCATCAAGATTTATAAACTGAGGCTCAGGGCTGGGTTTTAAGTAATACAGTTTAGTCACCAACCTGCTCTCAGCCTCTGAATGGATAGTCCCAAAGCCCTCACCTATAAAACAATCAGTTTGTGATGACCGCTTGCAAATGAAATTGAGCTGATCAATATACACAGATTGTGGATAGAATGTAATATTGTAGAATGCATCTATATGAACATTACATTGTTGACTTGGCCATGCATATATGACAACAAATGAAATTGAAGCATTACCCATTACCCACCACACACACATACAGTGGATACTTTATAGAACTTAACATTCATAACATAACATAAATAGAAAAGAATGCTAATAACAAAGCTTTTTGTTTCTCTATCCCACTTTATAATATGACATTTGGCATGAAAGTTGAATCACAGTTTAATCATCTGAAACAGAACATTTTCACCCAACTTCCATTCTTATCAAAGCAAATAACACTAGAAGGATAGAGTGGGTTCAGGCAAAAATTAAATTTACTTCACCATTCGGCCTCCCCAATTGCTTTAGAAAAAATATAATCCTTCCCTCCGAAGCACATAACTCCATCTTTTAAGTAGAACTTCCACTTGTTCTTACTTCGATGTATCTGGAAAATTGAAACATATTGCAATCAGATATTTGCTTCTAGGAAAGGTAATGGTTCCGAACACCAAATGTCAGGCTTACATCCAAATACTGTGCACAGTATATTGTTGAAGAATATTTACATGAACTGTTTTATCTGCTAAAAGATTTTAAATTGTCCAGCCAATGTTCTGAAGCAGACATGTGTAGTGGTGTCCAGCCAATCTCTTGACAGACAGCAGAAGTGGGTTGGTGACCTCACTACTGCAATCAACCAGGAGCTAGGTGGGATGCTGGCCAGAGTGTCCAGCTCAGCTCCTGTTAACCACTGATGTCAGTGAGCTGGGCGGGACACCAGCTAGAGCATCCAAGGTTGCTAAGTGCTCATAGCAAGTCTATGGGGGTAGAACTCAGGAAATTAAATGTCCCCATTTTGAAGCCTTATATGCAATTTATTGGCCATAAAAAGTGTATGGGGATCCGGGTACTGCTCTGGGGGACATGTATCAATGAAAAAAACACTTTTAAAAAATACCATTTTTAAAGGAGTAGTGATTTAACATCACTTAAAATGAAACATTAAAAATGAAAAATTCCTTTTATATATGGTGTCTGGGGGGTCCCCTTTCACTGACCGTAAAGTGGCGCATCTGTATGATGTATAGAACCTGCTGAAGCAAAAATGACATTTATATACATTTTATTGATATTTATATAGAACTCTAATATATTACAGAAGTCATATATACAGTATATATATGAAAGGGGACCCCCCAGACACCATATATAAAAGGAATTTTTCATTTTTAATGTTTCATTTTAAGTGATGTTAAATCACTACTCCTTTAAAAATGGTATTTTTTAAAAGTGTTTTTTTTCATTGATACATGTCCCCCAGGGCAGTACCCGGATCCCC